GAGACCAAGAACGAGACCGAGGCCGAGACCGAGACCGAGACCGAGATCGAAACTGAGATTGAGACCGAGACCAAGATCGAGTTTGAGACTGAGTCTGAGTCCAAGTCAAAGTTGGAGTCCAAGTCCAAATCCAAGTCTGAGGGTGAAAGCCCAAAGCATTCATCTTCTAGACCCTAAGGGGTTTGGTGAGCTCTAAAAGTATAGTAGGGGGCAGACTCTAGTGGAGCCAATTTAGCCAAGAAAAAGCTAGTGTGACCAAGGAAGGTTATACTTATGTGTTGGGTAATGATATAACCATTAAAGAGTCCAAGGCCAAAGTGAACACGGACAAATAAGCAGGGTAGCTTAGTAAAGTGTTCAAGAGCCAACTCTAGCTCCCCTGGGAGATGGAATGGTTGATACTTCCAATCCAAGTGTGCATGGCACTACCTATTTGGATATTTAGTATGGCTCATTGAAACCTCACTTTAGCCATATAGCTGAGGCACAAAAAGGTGGAAGGTGGGGAGAATACTCATAAGGTTCGTGTAGGGCCACGGTGTTTCAAAACATCATCCTAAAGTCCTAGATTATGGAAAGGAAAAAGAGTAATCCTTTGGTGTAGTGACCAAGGATATGAGGAAGTCCCAGAGGACAGTGGGATTTAATGGTTAGGCCTTTGGGCCTTGACCTAGTGGCAGTTTTGGCCAGCACGGCTGTGGATGAAAAGGGACTTGGTAGAAACTGAAGAAGGGATATTGGGAAAGGGTGTTTTTTATGTCTCTGGGCATCCTAAAGATGCTAAGATGTGGTCAAGGGATGACCACTCATAAATGGATGGTCCAGTTTTGAAAGACGGGATTGTGATGTAGGTTTTTTTGGATTACTAATATGACAAGGGTAAATAAGTATAGCCTTAGCGTAACGGGCTGATATATCAGTGGTACCTTTAGGTGTCAGTCATGGGATTAGACATATGGAGCACTTGAACATCTAAGTGGCATAGATGTCATGCACGGGGCTAACATGTCCCCAAGTCCTAAATAAAACTTATAAAGGTTGGGAGTAAATTCTTCCAAATGGTCAAAGGTGTAGTTAAGTGACTGAAGTAAAATTGAAATTTAATGGCTTATAAAAGCCCATAGCAAAAAATGTAAAAGAAACATATTAGGGGGTGAACACTCCCTAGACTTTGCAAATAGAGCCTTTCCTCATAAACCAGAAGGATACCCCCAAGGATAGAGGTAGTAATCCTATATTATTTGGTGCAATAATCAAAGGATAAAAGAAAAGGACTAATAGCCAAAAATGGGCTTTGGAAATTGTTAAAAGGAATTCAAATGATAAATTAGGCAAGAAACCACAATGTGATGGATTCTAACGGATTGTAAAAAAGAAAATATATTTTCAATGATGAGATTTCTTAAATGCTCTAATTTGGTAGAAGGTGAAAACTCCAAAAGATGGAGTGGCAAAGTAGCCAAATGATGGGACCATGGATAGCTCTAACACAAATTATGAATAAGTAAAACATAATGCCTAAAATGCCACAAAGTAAAAGAGGGGATAATGGTGCCTTCAAATATAGAACTTTTTAAGATGGGGAAATGGAGTTTGCATAACATGTGCAATACAATGTGTCAGAAATACCTAAGAAATTAACTTGATAAGTCTATATTAAAGTTTTAAAGCGTGATGGTTATATTGATAGAGGCTAAGACTATGCTAGAATAAGTCCACCAGTGGTCTAATGGGTCTCTAAGCTAAAGAAACTATACTCCTTAGAGGGTGGGTAAGGCATGGTGAACCTTCGGTGTTAAACTATTGATAAATAGTGGTTTGGTGCAAAAGATGAAAATGGTAATCCATGATGGGGTTACTTTATAAAATGGTTTATTGTTCGATGGGGATATTAAACTTCATCTATAAGTGATGGAGTTGTAAGATAAAAATCCCTAAGCCCCAAAGTGGAACCAAAAGTAGGCTATGTGGCAATAGCTGAAGCAAAAGTCCAATAAACATAACACATTTAGACCAAAAGCTCTAAATCATAAAATCGAGAATAAGAGTGGAACTCCTAAAGAAGGGTTCGAGGAACGATTATGAAATGATTGGTGAGCGAGTCTCTAGAAAGAGACACAAAAGAGACCAACACGTGTATGTGACACATGGAAATGCCGGAACTGAGCCCGAGATGGAGTCTGAGATGGAGTTTGAGGTCAAGTCTGATATAGAAGTCGAGATTGGGTCCAAGATGGAGACAGAAACCAAAACCAAATTCAAGTCCAAGTTCATATCTAAGTTCAAAACCAAGACTAAATACTAATGCAAGTTGTGGGGTAAAAGCGCAAAGTGATTGTCCCCCAAGGTGGTGGGGTTGTAAAGATTCCAAAAATATAATAGAGAGAGTGTGGGGGTTGGACTCTAGTGAAACCAGGAAAGGCCAATGTAACCCAAGAAGGTTATACCCACATGATGGGGTGATGATATAACTATTGAGGAGTTTAAGGCTAAAATGAACATGGATGGACAAATGGGACTCTTTTTTCCTCTCTTTTTCCACAGAATTGGGAAGACGACAGGGTAAATTGGTAAAGTGTTCAAGAGTTAACTCTAGCTCCCTTGGGAGTTCAAATGGTTAGTGCTTCTAATCCAAGTGTGGGTGGCACTACCTACTTGGATACCTAGCATGGCTGATCAGAACCTCACTCTAGCCACATAGCTATAACACCCAAGTAAGGAGAATACCCAAAAGGCTTATATAAAGCTATAGTGTTTTGAAATGTCATCCCAAAGTCCTGGAGTATGGAAAAGAAGAGGAATAATCCTCTTGCGTGATGACCAAAGACATAGTCACATGGTGAGGAAGTTCCAAACGTTAATAGGATTTAATGGTTAGGCTTTTGGGCCCTAACTCAATAGCAGTGTTGGTGAGCACTGCCGTGGACGGAGTGGGATTTAGTAGAGACTGAAGACGGATATTGGGGAAAGGTGTTCTCTATATCTTTGGGCATTTTAAGGATGCTAAAATGTGGTTATGAGATAACCATTCATGGATGAATGGCTTAGTCTTTAGTTGACAGATTTGTGGCACATGTGGTTTTGGACTACTAATGAACAAAGGCAAATAGACATAACCTTAGGGTAATAAGCTAACATGTCAATAGTACTTTGGATGTCTATAATGAAATTAGACACATGAAACATTTGGACCAAGTGTAAAAAATAGAGTGGTGTTGAGGCAACCCATGGAAATAGTAAATCCCTAAGTTGAGAATAGAACTTATAAAGGTTGTGAGTGAAACTCTTTCAAATGGCTAAAGGTGTGGTTAAATGATTAAAGTAGAATAGAAAAATTAATCACTTACACCAAAGGCCCAACCACTAAGTTTCACTAACCTTTGGGACTGTCGACTATATTGCCAAGCAAAATGGCCTCTAGATTAGTAAGGAGAGGCATCTATCAAGGCATTGAGATGGCATCATAGAGAGCATCAAGGTATGGATTGCAAATATGGAGTTGAATTTCCCCAACACCATGTCAACTCTAGGATGAACAATCTAACACTTAGTTCTTTATGAGTAAGATTTTTAGGATAAAATTACATAAAATTTATTAATATCATTATTTTCCATTATTTCTAACTTAAGAATTATTTTATAGAAATTAAAAGAAGATAAGGAGTTTAAAAAAACTAAATTGGCATTTTATTATATTTCATAGTATAAATTTTTCACATCTTGTAAAATATACTTGTTAAATAAAAACAAATAGTACATATTCAGTATGTTTTTAACTATTTTAATATTTATCAATAAATATTGAAGATGATTTATCAGGATAAATAATATTCAATATAACATTATCTATTTATTTTTATGTATTATTACTTGTCAAAATTTATTTTCCCACTTTAGCTTTTCCCACATTTTATTTATACATTTCTGTAGAGTTTTTAATTTTATCATTTTTGCACATAATTATTTTTATGCTGTTTTGATTTTAATTTTATATTATTTTTTGAATAGAAAATTAGATTACTTAATTTTTAAAATAAGAAAAAAAATTAATTTTTTAAATGATTTTATAGTTGATAATGAGACTTCTTTTAAATCTCATTCCATGAATTTGAAGAAAGCATAATAAATTATTATTGAAGATATTAATAACACTCTTCAAAATATATCAATTATATATTGTAATATATAGTACAAGATTTGTAAACAGTTTTTAAGTTAAAATAATGAAATTATAAAAAACTAATATAATAATAATAAGTAAATAAAAGTGAATTATTTTTTATCAATACTTCTAGTTCTTACTTTTTCATATATATATATATATATAATTTGAGAAATATAAATTTGATAAATATATTTTATAAATTACAAGTTGAAAATAATGATTTGGATGAGTTTATATTTGATTTTGTATCTAGAAGTTCATCCCTTGCATGCTCCACTCGTAAAGACATAGACCCATCAAGTAAAGTGAGTATGCTTCCTGGGTCATAATAACTAAGACATGTATTCCATATATCTGTAACAGCTTCTGTAAAGTCATTAAATGTTGATTGGTGGTTCCATCCAATTTGAAGGAAGCAACCCAAAGTTCCAACTCTTGCAGTATAAAATCCAGATGCATATGAACTCTGTACAAAATTATTCCATACCATAGTTACGCATCTACAATATTCCTCAGGATTTGTTGCTCTTCTAAAAGTTCTAATGCATGTTTGAAAGGATTCATTGCAGGAGTAAGAGTGGGCTACTCTACAACAAATAAATAAAAGATATATAAATACAAGAGATTTCCAGAATTTCATATTCTCACTAATAATTTTTATGGAATGCTTTGGGTTTATAAGATCCAAACAGAATAAAACAAAAACACATTAATAATTTCTAATGATAGACAATAATAAGCGTATATTCTTGTTTGTAGTTTTTGGAAAAATTATACTAGCTAAAATTTATAAACCAGATGAACTTCCTCAACACAAACAACCTCACAAGAGATATTAAAAGGTAGATGCAAACTTTGTCTCTCCTACTGACTCAACAAAAACACGACCGTCGATCACAATCCACACCAACCGAGCCCTCGAGAATCCTGGCGATGAGCACGGCGTCGATGTTCTGGTGGTCCAATCTAGCTTGGGTAATGTACAATTGTATTTCAATACAACAAAATTTCCTCTCTAAGTTTGCAGCAGCCCCCCTCCATCTTATTACACTTCCTCGTGGAAATGGCAAAGAATCGCTCTCCTCCTTTTTGCTAACTTTTACCTCCCAAAGCGTTCAAGCTTGGGCCGAACGAGTCAAAAAGTCGTTGACGGCGAGGTTAGCATCGCCATGAGCAACCGCGTCTTCTGGTTCCGGCATGAATAAGGTGGCAGCGCTTGCCTGTGAAATAGAGGGAAAAACAAACATTGCAATAAATCAGAAAGTGAATCTCTACAAAATCTCTCATCGACAGTACCTTTGCATCGAATTGCCGCTCAGAACTAGCGCTGTCCACGACAACTTGCCCGCCATGAGCTTTCACCCATTCTTCGCACTCGTCGAGCACATCCTTGTCAGCCTGTGCTCCATTTGTGAATCCCAGCATCCGAGCTATCACTTCCAGAGGTAACGTCGGCCTGTACGACCGAGACATACACCTCAGGGCTTCAAAACGCATCCTCTCCACGTAAAGATCTGCCATATTACTTTCGCGTGAGCACCGCTTTTCTAAACTTCGAAGAGAAGAGGTCTTTACCCATCAAATAGAAGTTGAGATTTGGAGCCGTTTTGTATAGCCGGAAGAACATGATGTAGTTTCCCAGGGCCACGGCACCACGCACGGCTAAAGAGTGCTTAACTGCCTCGTCTTCTCGGGCCTCTGGTGTCAGCCTGTTACGTGGGAAAAAGGTCACTGGAGTTTCTAAACTACTTATAGGACATACCTTGCTATTGATGACAAAAGATCTCGGTTACTTCCATTCTGGAAAATAATATACAACAAGCTGTACGCGGTGAATTCGTTACAGCAACCGGAAATCCCCTCGGAGTAAAGAGTCTTTAGCTGTGTTTGGCACTGAAACCAGCAAGAAAGGATCAATGGCCAGACAAACTACAAAGCAGAATGTATACCTGATTGTATTCTGCCAGGTCACCTGCTTCTAATGCTGCTCGAGCATGAACTTCGTACACCTGTATTATATATTAGCAGTTGCAAAAAGAAAGAAATAAAAAATTAAATCAACCTGGACAGTGAGTTCATTCCGTATTCTCTATACCGTAAGATCTTGTCTAATTGACTTTAGCTGCTCGCACTTGTAGAAATAGTTTTTGGATGTCGACTCCACCATTTTCAAAGCCTTCGTAAGTACCTCTTCCGGTCTCACCTAAACAAACAAGCTCATCAGCACGAGAACTTACAATATAACTTACACTACGATCATGGATGGACTCCTCCATGCTTGGCTCCATGGGCCACCCCTTTTGAAGTTAGCACCTTCAACTAGGGAATTTGTTCCCCTGACTTGCCACTCTCGCTTAGCAAGTCATCCAACCAATGTAACATGGTTTCATGCATAAGCGTGAAAGTCCTTTACCATCGACTTTCGTTCAAAGTCATCCCTTTGAAAACTCGGGAACTACTTCCCCAACCTTGATAGCACTGCCTTATGGCAAACTTCAAGACCACGCTTTTGCTACACCACTCTGATTTCACGCGTTCTATGAACCATTTACACTTAGCTTTCTAGTTACTATGCTACCTAGAATTGTCTTTGGAAACCTTGAAGGAACTTTGTCCTTTAGCTTGCTAAGGCCTCTCCTTTTGCAAGCTTTTTAATTGCTATATGATTTAGCATGGATAATTTCATACTTTAGACTTTCTACCATGCTTTAACAAGTATTCTTAAGGATGAACCTACCCGATAGCCTAGGGAGTGGTTTCTCAATTCGGGTATACTCACCTTATTGTAAGCAACCAAAGGGAACGACTCGAGAGACGATCCATGGGGTTCAAATATAGAGGGAAAGGGCCCATGAACAAGAGTGTACCCCCTTTTCCAATCGGTTAAGGGTCTTGGGATACTTGGGGTTAAGCGTCCTTGGGTTTGAATAGTACTGGGCTGGGTGACCTCCCGGGAAGTCCAAACTCAAGAGCTTACATTTGGTATCAGAGGGGTCTCGGGTCCGACTCTGTTGGTTGGCTTAGGGGAATCGCACCACATGTTGATTGACATCTGGCTGGTCCAGTTTGCTCCCACTGGGCTCGACCCGAGGGGTAGGGTGTCAAGAGAGCGAGGCTCTCGGGAGAGCTGCGGCTCTCAGCTTCCGTTCACGAGGGCGTGAACTTGCAGGGAAGCGTGGTGGATTGTAAGCAACCAAAGGGAACGACTCGAGAGACGATCCATGGGGTTCAAATATAGAGGGAAAGGGCCCATGAACAAGAGTGCACCCGCTTTTCCAATCGGTTAAGGGTCTTGGGATACTTGGGGTTAAGCGTCCTTGGGTTTGAATAGTACTGGGCTGGGTGACCTCCCGGGAAGTCCAAACTCAAGAGCTTACACTTATAATTCCACACACCAGAATTAATGTTGCTATATATGAGCCTTTATATGCCTATCACTAGTCTTGCCAAAATTTCATTTTTGGCTTTGTCTAATTTAGGTAAACGGACTTTTCCCGTCTTTGCAACCTTGAACATTTGGATAGTACTTTTTATCCATCATTCGTTAAGGACTTAGTCCCTTAGGCCTTATTTATTGCCCTTGCGACATTAAACAACACCTCCTAGTGTTCTAGAGTGTTTAGGTGTCCCAATGATGGCATCTTTGCCAATAAGCATTCCCTTTAACGACATTGACTTACTATATCGGCACATAAGCAATTTATCCCCCCATCAGGGTATATCTAACTTCCTTATGCTATTAAGAAGTTTTGGGTAGCTGCCTACTACCAGTTTAACTGATTATTTTGCACCTTTTGCTTAGTTGCTGTGAAACACAAAATCCCTAGGCCCCAAAGTGGAGCCAGAAGGGCGCCACGTGGTAGTGGCCGAAGCGAAAGCCAAACAAGCATAACACGTTTGGACTAAAAGCTCCAACTTGATAGGTCGAGAGCGGGAGTGGAACTCCCAACAAAGTGCTCGAGGAATGAGCACGAAGCGAGCAATAAGCAAGGCTCTAAAAAGGGACCCGAGATGGAGTCTGAGATGGAGTCCGAGATGGAGTCCGAGACGGAGTCCGAGATGGACCCGAGACGGAGTCCGAGATGGACCGAGACGGAGTCCGAGACGGAGTCCGAGATGGAGTCCTAGACGGAGTCCAAGATGGAGTCCAAGACGGAGTCCGAGATGGACCTGAGACGGAGTCCGAGATGGACCTGAGACGGAGTCCGAGATGGACCTGAGATGGAGTCCGAGATGGAGTCCGAGACGGAGTCCGAGATGGACCCGAGACGGAGTCTGAGATGGACCGAAACGGAGTCCGAGATGGAGTCCAAGATGGACCCGAGATGGAGTCCGAGATGGACCGAGATGGAGTCCGAGATGGAGTCCGAGATGAAGTCCGAGAAGGACCCGAGATGGAGTCCGAGGTCGAGACCGGGACCGAGATCGAGATTGGGACCGAGACCAAGGCCGAGACCGAGACCGGGACCGAGGCCGAGACCGAGGCCAAGGCCAAGGCCGAGACCGAGCCCGAGCTCGAGTCCGAGTCTGAGTCCGAGTCCGAGTCCGAGTCCGAGTCCGAGTTTGAGTCTGAGAGGGTGAAAGCCCTAAGCGTTCGTCTCCCAGACCCTGGGGGGTTTGGTGAGCTCCAAAAGTATAGTAAGGGGAGGACTGCAGTGGAGCCAGTTTGGCTAGGAAAGGCTAGTTTGGCTAGGAAAGGCCAGTTTGGCCAGGAAAGGCCAGTTTGGCCTAGGAAAGCCAGACCCAGTGTTGGGTGATGAACTGACCACTGGGAAGTCCAAGACTAGAGTGAATACAGACCAACAAGCGGGGTAGCTTGGTGAAGTGTTCAAGAGCTAGCTCTAGTTCCCCCGGGAGATCGACTGGTCGATGCTCCCAGTCCAAGTGTGGGTGGCACTACCTACTTGGATACCTGGCGTGGCTCAACAGAACCTCGCTCTAAGCCCATGGCTAGAGCACCCAAAGGCGGAAAGCGGGGAGAGTACCCACGAGGCTCGCATAAGGCGACAGTGTTCCGAAATGTTGTCCCAAAGTCCCAAACTATAGAATGGAAGAGGAGTAATCCTCTAGTGTGGTGACCAAGGATACAATCATGTGGTGAGAAAGTCCCAGAGGACCATGGGACTTAGTGGTCGGGCTTGTGGGCCTTGATCTAGTGGCATTGTTGGCGAATATGGCCATGGACTGAAAAGGGACTTGGTAGGAACTGATAAAGGGATATTGGGGAAGGCTATTCCCCATGTCTGTGGGCATCCTAAGGATGTTAAGGAGTGGATCTAGGATTATCACTCGTGGATGGATGTCCCAATCCTTGAGAGACGGGACTGCGATGCAGGTGGTGTTAAACCATCGGTGTGACCAAGGTGAATGGGCATGGCTTTAGCGTAACGGGCTGATATGTCGGTGGTACCTTGGGGTGTCGGTCATGGGATTAGACACGTGGAGCACTAGGACCAAGTGCAATGGTGGAGTGGCATGGTTGCCATTCTTGGGGCTAATAAGTCCCTAAGTCCAGAATAGGACTTATGGAGGTTGTGAGTGAGACTCCTCCAAGTGGTTGAAGGTGTGGTTAAGTGACTAAAGTAGAATGGAAAATTTAGTTGTTTACAGTTGCCTCATAGTTATTAAGGTCTACAACTCATTGCTGGTGCTTCCACACCTCCATTATTATCTAGGTCACCACACTCCAACTACATGCCTTCCAGTTTAGGCTATACCATTCCCATTTCCATTAGGATTCCTTTGGGAAGGGGTTCTTGTGAATCCGTCAACTCACCTTAAGGCATCACGCTTTGGCACATTTAATGTCTTTACACTATTGGCTCCACGAGCCTACCTTTATGACACTTCCTACTTGTGTCTAGGTCCTTGCCAAGACCAATATAGTTCTTTCTCATGCCAACTATCCGTTAGCACTGCACTATAGAGTTTACTCACAACTTTGTGTCATAGTTATTTTCTTCTGGGAACACCTTCCCCACAACTTTAATATAGCCCATTCCGCCCTCAATGAGATACTCACTATTCTCATACTTGGATTTTATGATCCTCCCCAACCTTTGTGGGGCACAATACACTTCAGTCCAAATGTTTTTAGCAACCCTTAAGACCATTCCTTGACTCTACTTGAGTCATCTAGCATTTTTGAACTTTAAAATCTAATGACCTATAAAGTCTTATTTGAAGTGCCAACTCGCTGGAATACAACTTCTTGTATTCATTTCCTACTCACAAGGACCATCTTTGCAAGTGTCACTCCAACACTTGATGTTATTCCATGGGGCAACCTTTGCCCCTTTGGACTATTTATCCATGTGATGAAAATACCAACTCATCCTCTAAGTACACCCCTAACTCCTTGGGCTGTTTCAGCATTTATAATGGGTAGCCTTGGCTACCATTTCAAGGACTTGTGTCCTCTTCCATATTTGACTTTCCATGGTCATTAATTTTGGTCTCAAATTCATAAGCACTAACCTCAACTATATGAGGATAATCTTGTGCCTCCTTTATGGTTTTGGAGTCTTTATTTTTCCCGTGATCCCAACTATAGTTGTTTACCACAACTACATTAGCCACTTTGCTAAGCCAAACGGTCATCTAAATCACATCCTCAACTCTTTGAGGAAAACCTTATACTGTTCCCAAGATCCCGAAGTCGTTCCATTATTAGCCCTTTTTTATCCACCACCTCACCTACCAGTTCACACATAAACTTTATTGGAGAGCCATGTTTTCTCGACTTGCTACTCCTCATAGATAGGCCCACCTCTAGGACCTTCCAATGCTAACACCAGTGGTGATATACTTGAGCACCAATAAAAGTCGGACTAAGGAAAAGCTTTGATACCAAGTTGTAAGCAACTAATTTTTCCATCCTACTTTAGTCGATCCTCCATAAATCCATCTATAGTAAGATGTAACTCACTTCATAACAAACACAAGAAAAATCATCAATGATCAATATATTCCAACTCAAATCCAATAAGGACTCAACATTGTCAATATCGATCACTAACTCTTGTTTTTGTAGAGTTAGCATAGTCAACAACTAAATCTCTTTTCAAGGAAAAGCTCAAAGCTCA